TGGAGCCTGGGCATCTGCACTTCTAAGGAGCTCCCAGCCCAGGCACTGTGAAGAGGGTACAGAAGGACCCAGGTTCACACTCCATTTCCAGCACTTCCAAGCTGTGTGACTTGGGTGGCACATAATCCTTCTGGGACCCAGTCTCCAAAACTGGCAGAAAAGAGCACAGGTGAACGGCACCTGCCAAAGAATGGCCAGTGGTTCTCTCTGACCAATGAGCGGCTCGGGGCGGCCAGAGGCAGAGAGGCCGCTGAGGGCGTGGGGACAGCCCTGCTCGCACCTATGAGGTTTTCATTGACTCCTCCTCCAGCTGGGCCAGTCTTGTACAAAGGGCCTCTGCCCGCCCCTGCGGCAGCAGGGCCTGGTGTCCCTGCGCTGGACCATCCCCTCCTCGGAAGCTGGCTCTGAGAAGGCGGGCAGGAAGGTGCCAACCACAGGGAAAGCAGAAGTCCCCAGGGGGTGGGAGAGTGCAAGCGGATGACTCAGAGGCCAAGGGGAAGTGGGAGGCCCAGGGAACTTAGGTCAACAACTCCTCCCCTAGAGGGGCTCCCCACCCCTGCAGGCAAAGGATCCAAAAGCATCACCTCCCCCAGGGGGTACCCAGCTCCAGCACCCCAACCATAAACACAGTCTTCCCTTGGCCTCTGGGGGTTCCCTGCAGGAAGCCCCCATAACCTGCAGCTGCCACTTACCCTAACCTTGCACGACTGATTCAGTTTCCCCATGTGTCAAGTGGGGTGTCATACCTGTGTCCCCTTCACCATGCTGGTGTGAGGATTCAGTGACTCCTTCACTTACACAGAGGCTGGGGCTGGCCACCCCACAGGCCTGGCGTGGCACAGAGGGAGCTAGCTTCCACTGCCCCTGAAGTTCCCTGCACATGGCCCTTTTCCCTGGGCCCCTAAGCCTCTTGAGGGCAGGCACTGGATTCTTCATGGAATTCTCTGCAACTTGCTCCTAGTAGAAACTCAATAAACCACATGCAAGGCTCTTTACAAGGGCGCTAGGCTTTTTATCCACAGACTCCTCAGCCCATGACTGTAGCCACACAGGGAACTGGAGCTCAGAGGCGCTGAGGCCCCTGGGTGTGCCACTCCAGGGCTGCTGTCTGCCTGTGTTGTCCTTGTCTTTGCTACCTCCCTTCCACGTCACCCAGTGAGTTCATTTCCCTGTTTCATTTATTTGGTTCTCTGCCACTCTGGTCAAAGCAAAGGGGCTGCTGGCAGCTCCAAGGGGGGTAAATATAGGTGCCAAGGGCTATTGTGACGCTGCCCTGGGTGCCAGCTCAATGACAGCCCTGTGAGGAGGGTACTGTTATTAGGTCTGTCCCAAGGCAAGGGGCAGAGGCTTGGAAAGTTACGCAGTCCACAACTGGGATTCAAACCCAGAACGCAGAGCCCCAAGGCCCTGCTCTCAAACACTGCACCTGTTTGCATTCCAGGAGCGACTCAGGAGAGGTGCCAGGAGCACCCAGATCCAAGCAGATACCTGGGAGGGGTTGAGGAGGGTGGGGGAAAGAGGAGCCTGTGGGGGCAGAGACCACCAGATGGGAAAGGAAGCTTGCCTCTCTATCTCAGGGGCCGGGCCTGCCTGGCCTGGGTACGACGGGAACTAGGGCAGTGTCCTCAGAGTCCAGAGCAGACAGAGCATCAAAGGCTGCCTGCCTTCCCAGCAGGTGTCAGAGCAGGGTACAGCTGAGGCTCCTGGGCCCACCCCACCGTCCTCACTCTACCCCAGGGATGAGGGAGGGAGGGAGAGAGATGGGGATTTAGGGTGCAGCTGCAGGGGGAGCTGGGACTGAGTCACCAAGCACTCTGGTGAGTGGCACCTTGTGCCTGGCTCCAGGTTAGCACCCTTGAGTGCCACCCCAAAAGGCACGTACCCCTTCTTCCAGGTACAGACAAGGGACAGGGGCTTTCTGCCTCAACCACAGCCATGAACCTGGGACCCTATGCAAGACACTGCACTCCTCTGGGTCTTGGCTTCCACCTGTAGACAGGGGAGTGGGTGCGAAGTCTCCTGCAGGCAGAGCCTGAGATCCTAGTGGGTTGCAGAGCCCTCCCCACCCTCCCCTCTATCCCCAGGGGCTGGCAGTCAATCCCCCACAGGATGGGAGAACCAAAAGTGGCCCAGGGCAGCTCTGACACCCAGAAGGGACTCAGGACCCTCTGAAACCTCAAAGTCCAAAGACCTCTGGGAGTCACGGATGCTGCTAGTCCTCTCCATGTGAGCATGGATGGAGGCCCAGAGGGCAAGTGGACTGGGAGGGAAGGCAGCCCAGCTTCTGAGCTGCAGCCAGTCACTAGGCAGGGCCCGCTCTGTTCTGCTTCCCCAGCTCCCGCTGGCTACTCTGGCGAGTGGCTTCCCGGGAGGACAGGCTCCCCTCGCTTGGCCTGTCCTCAGCAGAGCCCTGGCTCTTATCCCTGGGGTGTGCTGGAACCCAGGTGGCTATGGCCTGGCTGGGGTAGTGCAAACAGAACAGAGGTTTTGTCTGTGGACTGCTCCCAGCCGGCACTCGGCAGGCTGCGCTGGCACAGTGCGGCCTTGTTTCCTTGAATGCAGAGTCCACAGCCTCCCACCCTGGCCAGGGCCTCCGGCAAGCCAGCACTTCCCTCCCTAGAGGTCCAGTTCTTCCCGTCTGCTTCCTGCCCCCTCACCCTCCGAACGCCCCAGTAAACAGTGCTGGGGACATGGTGGAGCCAGTACCAAAGCAGCTGGCTTGGAGTCCAGAGTGCAGACACAGTGTTGAGACCATGCCCCCACCAGCACTTCTGAGCAAGCTGCAGTCCCCCACCCCCAGGTTCTGCTCCTGTGGGGTGTCTGGGCTTCCCCCTCACACAAATCCAGGCGGGGAGTCCATGGAAGCTGAGAGAAGAGCAAGGAGCCCTGGGCATGGAGGTGGGTGTTGAGTGAGCTAGCTGAGGAGCAAGCAGGTGTCTGTGAAGACAAACTCAGAGAAGAGCGTGGGTTTGGGGCTCTCAGACCGGGTCGAACCTTGGATCCCCAACTTTCTAGCTGTGCAGTGTTGTATTCAGACCCCCCCCCCCACCCCCCCAAGTGCAGGGAGTAGTTCCAGGTCAGACCTGGCTGTGAAGGCTTGAGTTCCTGTTTCTTATCAGCACAGGGGCCAGGGGCAGCTCTCATGCCTCTGTGTGTGTCTGAATCAGCCCTGGGCCCCGCCTCCACCAAGGGCAATCTCCACGCGGAAGTTCCAGGCAGGGAGGTCAGACCTGGCCTGGAGCTCAGCAAGGTTTCAACCTGCTTGTCCTGGAACTGGGCGGATCCTGTTCTCCTAACCCAGTCTGTGGCTGGGCAGAGGTGTCATGGGCTTCCAGCGAGGCCCCATAGGCTCCTCGGAGGCCCCAGGTCAGCCACGCAGAGGTGTAGAGTCCCTACCCCCTTCCCGATATTGACCCAAACTTCTGGGGAACCCAAACCTTTCCTGCCCCTCCATGGAGATCAGATGTAGATGTTGGTCTTAAGCTGTGGCTTTACACACATCCCCTTGGCCTGGGCTTCCGGCTGCATGCCTTGGTGCTGACACCCCATACCTGGGCTGGCACCCCTAACCTCCTGCCTAGCCCAGCCCCAGGGGAGCCCTCTGTTGAGTCCCACCACAGAGGTGCTGGTTATTTTGGTCGTGGTGGTGCCAGCTGAACTAACTGAGGGGGTCAGCATGGTGGATTTATACCGTGGGCAGAGGAAACAGAATGAGTGGCTGTGGTGTGTCAGGGACCCAGGAGGGGGTCTTCTGACAGGAGGCAGGGGAGCCAGGATTGCACAGAGGCTGGGTGCAGGGGGTGAAGAGGGCAAAAGGAGGGCGGGCCCCCAGGCTACTATCCTGCAGCAGGGTTCGGGGGATGCACAGACAGGGACACAGGGGTCTCTCTGACTAGTGGGAGTGGTCGGGGATGGGCGAGGAAGGGGCTCAAGTGTCTGGCCAAGGTTTGCGGGGGTGGGGGGGTGGGAGTATAGGGGAATATCCTGAACAGCTGAGGGGAAGGGGGTCTCCCTGCTCAGAACCCAGGCTGCAGGGCCGTGGAGATCAAGAGGAAAGGAATGCGTGTGGCCCGCGGCGCAGGGAGCGCCCCTCCCAGAGGCTGGGTGTGTGGGGGTGGGGAGCGCGGGATGGGGGAGGAGGGAGGGCCCAGGTCCTCACTTTCAGGGTGCGGGACTGCGGGAGCCCCTGAGTGTTGTGGTGGTGGTGGGGCTCACCACGATCCACAAGGACCTCTGGGAGACTCCCTCCCCTCCCACTCCAAGCGCGCGCCTACGGGGTGCTGGGGGCTCCATGACTAAGAGGAGGAGTCACGTGCCAGGGCCCGGGGGGGCAGGGGTCCCCAGCCCCACCGCGTGGTGAGGCGGCGTCCCCAAGCCTCGGGGTTGTCTGGAAGGGATTCCTGGTGAGATGGGGTCAGGGCGGGTTAGGGGGGGAAGCAGGGGAGCGCCCGAGCGTTGGGGTAGGGGTCCCGGGGCGGCGCGGGGTGGGCGGGGGCCGGCTCGGGCGCGCACTCACTGCTTGAACATCTTCTCCATGTCCTTGATCTGCTTTCTGGAGAACTCCTTGAACTCGGTGTAGGGGTTGAAGACGCGGCGGCTGGGCGACTGGGGCTCGCCGATGCCCTGGTTGAGGTCCGCGCGCCGCAGCAGCTTGGCGCTTAGCTCGTCGTCCGCGCTGCCCAGCGCGTCGGTCGGCTCGTCGGGCGCCCCGGCCGCCGTCGCCGCAGCCGCGCCGTTGAGCCCCGGTGGTTCCGCGGCCTCGCCGCCCTCGCCCTCCATCTGCAGCCGCCGGCTCAGCTTGGTGGCCAGCTCGTCCGTGGCCATGGTGGTGGCCGCGCGGCGCTCGCTCGGCCCGGCCCTGCTCGGCGCGCCGCGCTCCGCCGCCGGCCGCGCTCTTCCTCTTCCTGACACTCCCCGGCGCCGGACCCCGCCCCGGAGGCGGGACGTGCGCCCCTCGGTCCCCGCCCCCGCCGCCGTTCCCGCCGCGCGGGGCTGCTTGGTCACCGCGGGTCCGGGGTGCGGGGATGGCGAGCCCGCAGGCTCCGGTCGCCCGCCGGGCTGGGGGCCGCGCGCAGCGCCATCCTGCGCGCCGAGCTCAGTGCGGGAGCGATTGCAGCCGCGGAGGGCAGAGGAGGCGCGCCCTGCAGGGTGGGCGTGGGCCCAGGGCTCTGGAGGCGCGCTGATGAGTGGGTGGGTTGGGGGTCGCCTTCCCCAGCCCCTTCTCGGAATCCCCGCGCCTGAAGTCGTAATCCCGTCGGTGACACACTGTCGGTTGCCATGGAGACGGCGGGAGGTTAAAAATCCCCGGTTTTCTCCACGAGGTGACAGGGTGCAAAGGAGGCGGGCCCCGGGAGCCTGCGAGATCCCGGGGTAGGGGCATCAGTGGCGGGATCCGCAGAATAATGGACCCGCAGCTGCGGTGGGCATGGGCCTGGCCTCCGACGAAGGAGCGAGAAGGAGATGGGGCGGCCGATACTCTGGCCCAGGTGGCAGGATCCGGGGATGACTTGGCAGAATAACTGCAGCCTGTGACTACCTTAGGGTGGCTGGCAAGCAGCTCTGGCTGTTGCGATTTTAAAAAGAATTAAGTTTGTGTTTATTCACCTAAGAGAGATCCTTGACTGAAGGCTGGGTGGGGAAACTCAGTCCCGCTCACCCAGCTGGATGGCAGTCACCTGAGCCATCCACCTGCCTCCCAGGATCTACATGAGAGGAAGCTGCAGTCTTGGGCTCTGGAGCCAGGGATGGAACCCAAAAAGTCGGACATTGGACGTGTGCATTCTGATTACCAACCCGGGAGGTTGACATTTGGTTGCTGCAGAAGAGAAACAGCCCACCCCCCAAATCCCTTGGGCTTGGGGAGGGGTGAGCTCACAGAGAACTCTATGGGTCTGTCTGTCATCTCCACGTTGCAAGGCTGTGGTGCCCCAGTGTCAGAACTTTGGGGCACTGGTTACTAACCACACCCCCCTGCCAACACAGCACACTTGTCCAGATGGACACATGGGACCCAGGATCTTGTGCTTGGAAAGGTTCTGCTCCGTGGAGGTTGAGAGTCACTGTTAAGCAGCACGGCCACGTTGTGTGTGTGTGCTCTCAAGAAAGAATACCCCATTTGCAGAAGGCTCCCTGCAGCCACCGGGCAGAGATGGACTCGACGGGGAGACAGGGCTGGGGGGTGGGTAAAGGTAGGGGCTGTGAGAGTGACTGGCGTGGGTCGCTCCATCGTTATAGATCGGCTGGCTGCGTTTGAGAACATTGCTGTTCTTTAAAAAGGATTTTGCAAAGATTCCCATTCAGGGAGTGGGAAGCTTGCATTCACTCATTGCTCAGCTCAATGACCATGCCATCTTCAAATCCAGCAGGAAGTGCTGCTGGGTCTCCAGGGCAGCTCGGTCCTGCTTCCGCTCCTGCCAAGGGGCCGTTCCCCTGGCCCTACACAGTCCCTAGTAAAGGAGTTTGTTATCTAGTGTCAAGCTCTCGCAGGCAGGGAAGAAAATGCTTCAAATCATGTCTGGGGTGGGAGGCGGAGTCTTCCTCACCATGCAGCTGTTGGCTTGCCAACCTGGTGAGACTCCGTTTACTCCAACTGGTGAATTCTCATGGCTTTGCGTGACCTGCTTTGTGTCTGCCCAGTGTAGGCGCAAACTTGACCGTGAGAAGACCACAGGAGAGGTTTGCTTTCTGAAAAGCTGGGGGGTTTGACTTGAATTATGGGGACTGACTGTGTGTGCTGCTTCGATCATTCGTGTGGTTGGTGGGGACATGCGCCCTCACAGGAGGGCACAGAGGTCGGGGATTCTGGGCATCACCTGTTGTGTCTTGTACCAGGGGAGAGGTGGAAGGAAGGAGCCCAGAGGCCAGGAGATGCTGCCCAGGGAGGTGAGGCCTTTTTTAAAAAAGATTGATTTTTGTTAGAAAGGCAGATTTACAGAGAAAAGGAGACACAGAAAGATCTTCGTCTGCTGGCTCATTGCTGTGACAACCAGAACTGAACCAAATCAAAGCCAGGAGCCAGGAGCTTCTTTCAGTTCTCCCACAACAGGTGCAGAGTCCCAAAGCTTTGGACTGTCCTCTGCTGCTTTCCCAGGCCATGAACGGGGTGAAGGGGAGGGTCTAGATGGGAAGTGGAGCAGCTGGGACACACATGGGATGCCAGTGCTTACAGGTGGAGGATTAGCCAGTTGAGACATCAGGCAAAGTTTTTTTTTTTTTTTTCAACAACTCTTGACTTGATTTTCCTGAAGGTATTTCAGAAGTTTCAGAGCTCTAAGCTCTGTAACCATAGGCCAGTGCTCAAACTGCCAACTGCTCTGCCCATCTCAGAGGCCCTGGGCTAGGACCCTGCCTATGAAGACCCCTGTGGATCTGCCTCAAGCTGGGGATGTGCCTTGCATTGGAACATGTTCCCCTTTGAGGCCACTGGACTTCAGGAAAGGTGCTTTTTAGGGGATCAGACAATGAAAGGGGGAAGCGGATTCCTTACAGGAAATGTCAATGCTTCTTCGTAGAGAACATCAATGGGGCATGTCAGTTTAAAAAAATACTTCCCTTGGGCCCGGTGCTGTGGCCTAGCGGCTAAAGTCCTCACCTTGAACTCACCGGGATCCCATATGAGCGCCGGCTCTAATCCCAGCAGCTCCACTTCCTATCCAGCTTCCTGCTTGTGGCCTGCAAAAGCAGTGGAGGACAGAAGTTCCTGACTGCTGGCTTCGGATCAGTGCAGCATCGGCCATTGTGCTCACTTGGAGAGTGAATCATCGCACGGAAGATCTTCCTCTCTATCTCTCCTCCCCTTTGTATATCTGCAATAAAAATAAATCTTAAAAAAAACTTCCATTATTTTTGCTTTACATATTTATTTATTTATGATTTATTTGAAAGCGAGGGGGAGAGTGTCTTTGCTGGATCATTCCCCAAATGCTGCGATAGCCAGAGCTGAGTCCAAGTTATGTGGTTTTCCTGAGTGTTTGAGCCATTACCAGCTGCCTCCCAGGGTGCACATTGTTAGGAAGCTGGAAGGGAAGCAGGGCAGCTGTGGCTTCATCCAGTTCTCCGGCCATCTCAAGTGATGTCTTAGCTGCTGCACCAACTACCTGCCTGGGAACGAACACAGTGTGGAGTGACCCCGAGTTGTGTGCTGCAGGATTCTGGCAGGATTCTGGCAGGATTCTGGCAGGAGGGACCAGTCTGGACTGGTGACACATTTCAGCATCTGCTCATGTGGAACGAATGATCTAAGGGAAGAATTGCATCCTTGGCAAAGGCTGTCTGCAGAGGCGAGGGTGTCGAGGGCCAGCCGTGATGGCGTGATGGCAGTGAGGAGCTCAGCTGACTCAGTCATCCTGGACTTGTGTGTCCTTGCTTCCTCCCACAGCTCCTTGTAGAATTCTCTTCTGGGGAGCGAAGGAAGCATTGTAAGGTAAACAGCAGCACTTTGAAAAGGTGGGGGCTGGGTGCCGCCTAGGAACAAGAGGAAAAAGAGATTGAGAGCTCTAGGGTGTGCTGGGGGAGACTGTATGAACACTGGGGTCACGCCAGAGCCTGGCAGGTCTGGGTGGTCCTTGCAGCCCCAGATGTTGGGCAAACAAGGGATTAGGGATGCTGACAGAGGAGAAGTCAGCCCATAAAATACAGCCTTCACTTGGCACTCCACACGTAGCAGCTTCTTCATGGATCATTCCAAACACTCCGCAGCCATCAGGAAATCCTGGTGGATTGAGAGATGTACAGAGGCCAAAGTCCAGGCCGGCACAAATATTCACTTGGTGCAACCAGGGCAAGTGAGTGAGCAGGCACAGGTCTGGCCAGAGCCTGTGTGGTGCTGGAGGCTTTCTCAGCTCCTGCAGAATCTGGAAGTCTTTCCGGGCACGCCATGGGGCTGGGAGCTGGTGTCAGGCACATACGTAGCAGAGCAGAGCCGAGCCGAGCCGAGCCGAGCCGAGCAGGGCAGCAGGAAGAGGGGGAGGGCGATGGGGGACACAGCTGCAGGTGGACTCATCTGCAGGTCATTAGGAACCAATTTAGTTCAGAGCGCTCTGTCTGTGCTGAATTCATGTGACAACCGTGATGGCCTGGCATACGTACACTCGAGTGGGAGTGATTTCTGTTTCTTAAGTCACTAGCAGGGCTGTGGTGTCCAGCCCTGACACCTCACAAGCCTGTCTTAGCCCTGCTTTAAGCTCCCGAAGATTGTGTGTGTGTGTGTGTATGTGTGAGAGAGAGAGTGTTGGGGGTTGGGGGTAAGTTAAAACCCAGCCATGTTGCCCTGAAGTGCCTTCAAGTTTGTACTGCTGTGGGCAGAGGGTGGTGACGTTTATACTGAAGTGACTCCATGAAAATGAAGTGTTGCCAATCAAGGCACGTTTATGAAGCGTGCTGGCCCTGGGTACTGGTTCTGGAGCTCTCACGTGCACCTAGAATCCTACCCTGGGTGACAGAGAGAGGCTAAAGATCCCTCCAGTGGTGACCCAGCAGCACTGCTTATCCGCGACTCCCTGGGAGCAGGCACCTGTCTGTCTGGCTTCATTTTGAATCCTCATGGCTTCCTGCACAAGGACAGTACTGGAAAAATTTCTGCTGAGTGAATGTAAGACAGCTGCTCTGTCTGAGGTCTGGGGATGAAGGGGCACTTTTCTCAGTGTGCCTGGCAGAGCATCAGGTGGCTCATTGCTAGATCTCAAGGTCACTGCCGAAAGAAAGAAGAGCTGCTACAGTGACACCTCTGTGCACCCACATGACTCGACACAACTCGGCAGGAGCTCTTAAAAACAATCTTCTCAAGTGTCTGTCCCTGTCTTTTCTGAGGACACCGGCAGCAGCATCAGATAGGGACCGGGGCCGGGTGACCTGCCGGACCTTGGGCACCAGTGCAGCCCGGATGTCCCTTGAGCTGCTGTCTCCTCAGCAGATAAGGAGAAAGGAGAAGGTGGGAGATACGGGTCAACGCGGTATGTATCACTGCAAAGGACATCCATGAACTTGGAATGCTGAGAGGGACTGTAAAATTAACATGCAATGGACTGATACAGTGAATGCCACAGTCGGTTGAAAAAAAAAAGGGGTGATGCCCTAGAGAGGCACCTGATGGAAGGTATGAGTTAAACAAAGCATGTGACTCCCAGCCAGGGCTAGTAAGTAG